CACTGCGGTATGGAATCTACTCTTCTAAAAATTGAACGTAATCAAAACTGCAGAGTTTACGTTTCATATACGGTAGATACAAACGGACCGATTTTATTTCTCAAATGTTGTCATTGTCAAATATTTCGCCGTTGTGTTCCCGACGTAAGCTGTCTAGACTAAAGCTTTTGTCTTGTATTGTGAACACGCACTCTGGTATCAGTCCTTCAACATGCTTGCTCCCTCCGTTCAAACAGTTCACAAGAACAAACCAATCGCGCCACATTGAAGCCTTTCGATTGTCGTCCAAAATGTTTAAATATTTTTTTTTTCCTAGGACAGATGATGATTGGAACCTTTTACCAAGAAGTTTTATGCGCTACATTTGAACAATTTGCCGATGTCCGTTCTTTAATTTTATTAGTGTGATGCGCTCTTACAAATTTTTCCATGAGATCGTTTATGACGTATACTTCTTTGGTCTCATTAATGGTTTAAGAATGGTCATGAGTCATCCTGTGGTGTTTTATTTTATCATCATTCTGGTTTCGCAGTGGTTATAGCGCCGGCTATTTGTCCATCACTTCTGTCGCCGCGCCACTTCATATCGTGATTCATTGGCTTGCGATATGAACGTTAAGGATTGTAAAATTCTCTTCAGTGTCACATTTGATATTTTTCCACAATGCTTAGGCCCGAAAATGGCGTGCAGGATACTTTAAGTAAATAAAATAAAATAAATGCCATCTGTAAGAAAAAAATTTAAACCAGCGATCGTTTGTTTATATCAACTGTGTCGCACTCTGTATGTCTCACCTGTCTTCATTTCGTGTTTTTCTTTTCTTTCCAGTAGATGTATAAAATAGTATATAGTCGAAATAGGCATAAAAATTAACCTCACTATCAAATTCCCGTTAATTCGTACGATTCATTTCGACTATTATTTTTTTTTTCGTTGGAGACTATACAAAAAGAGTGAAAATGACACGTGAATTGTATACACGTAGTTGTATAATATATAGTGTTCTACAGCTCAGCCTTCACATTGTTGGTAAAAACTGTATATAAATAAATAAACTCAAATGAAGGTAACCAGTTTGCTACACTTGCATGTATATATCTACGGCATACGTGGTATATATATGTATATATATATATATATATATATATATATATATATATATATATATATATATATATATATATATATATATATATATATATATATATATATATATATATATCAGAATATTTAATAATAAAAAATACACCCTTTTTGCCTAACACTGAGTCTCAGGTAAGTTATGCATAAAATAAAGGATTGATTCTGTGTGTAAGAAGCCAGGGTTTGAGTATCGTTTCTTTACCATTAATAGCACGCGAACAAACACGCGTAATTAATTTCTAAATCTATATTAGTGTCGATTTAATTTTTTTTCTGCATCTCCGAGAAAAGGCGAGACTAAGAGAATCAAAAAATGTGATCAATCATGAATTTAAAAAAAAAAAAACTACTACATCAAGAGAAATGTTAAATGACACTGCTGACCACTCGCCGTGTTCCCTAGGGCATGTTGCGGCGTCCTGTCAGCCAGTCTTGCATGTTTTAGAGACGGCTGTCGCATCGGCCGCACGGTTCCGGCGCGTCCGTCTTCAGATGTTGTTGGGGCCTGCGCGAAGGTACTGGGCCTCCAAGACCACTCTTGTCTAAGGTATGTTCTCTCCATCGGGAGCCTTCGACCGCCTCCATTTTCTTATCCCGTGCTGTTCTTCTCTTGCCCCTTGCTTGTTTTTCGACGGTATCATCACATACATGATAACAAATGCTCGCAAAGTCTTATTCTGGATAACGTCTCTGAAGTTTGCTTTGCTGGTTCACCTTGCGACACCAGCTGTCGTCTCTATGCAAAAAAGAATCGGCAATATACAATATCTATCACGCTGGAGCAGCGAGACGAGGCTTTCCCGGCCCAGTCTTTGTTATTAACCCGCGCAGTGCATAAACGTGTCTTCAAAGGGCGCGCTCTAAGAATAGTGCTACATCGAGCGTGTCGCCTTTAAAAGACGAAACGTCTCAATGGCTTCGGGTGTGTGGGGGTCACACGCCAAGCGTAAAATTACGCCTTAAGTGCGCTTTCGGTCACGATACAGCCGTTCTCCGGGGTTTTTCGCCCCCGGGTATTTGCGCGGGATCCATTCTGTCCTATAATCGGCAAATGTTGCCTATACTCTATGTCACCATAAGTGCGGGCGTGGGCAATGCTATAAGAGCGAACACCCTGTCCTGAAAGTCGCTTTGACTTCACGCGCGCGCGTGCATAGCGGGCATGCTTGAAAGCGTCGCGTTCGCTCTCGTTGCTTGTCTTTTGGTAGCACTCATGGTAAAATTGGGGTGAAACAAAGTAGAATGGAAAAATTTAATACAAGATCGAATGCCGAATTTTCCCCGCCGAATGAGCTCACAATCTTGAATCTCTGCATGCTCCACGGCGTGCGCTCGTTGGCCGATTCAGTAAGGCCTTCCATCTTAAAGGGACCATGAAACGATATCAAGTTGGAATGTCCATAACTTTGCAGAGACGTACTGGTCCTAGTGTGGCCCAATTATACTCGCAGAGACCACCACAGATTCAGAGGCTTCTTTGTCGCATTAAGATTACAAGGACAAAAAGAGACTATTTCTTTCACTTTTGTTTTCGCAAAGCTTGATGACGTGATTGTAGGATCTAAAACACCGGCCTGACCACAGTCGAGCGCGGCTCGTGGATTGGGCACGAGAACTGCGTGAGCACTCGGCTTTGGCCCGTAACAATCAACAGTGCCTTGGCGGACACTCGGGTAGTGGCTCGTGTCCAACCACTGCGGTGATGAGGACAGCCGAACTCTAACAATGCCTTGAGCTCAGCACACGTTTTCTACTTTGCCAACCCCAGTGCGTGGCTATGATTAACTATGGCGGTATAGGATAAGCACCAGGCAACGTGGCCACTTGTTCTGGCTTCTAGTTGAGGGGATGAACGATGCTCATATTTCTCAAATTTGTTTGCAGACTGCCATTGCCTAAAAAAAACAAAAAAAAAAAACTAAGGCAAGTTTTTTTTTGTTTTTTAGATGCACACGTTTTAGTTTTAGAAGTAAAAATATGATTTACATCACAAGAAGACGACGCCTGCAGGCAGGACCTCAAGGTGTACAAAATTATATTTGGTCAACAAAACCCCGCACCCTAAACACTGCTCTGAGCATAGCGCTCGTTCCCTCGCTGCCTAATATATAACAAATGCATTCTAATGTTTTCTTTTTTACGTAGTTCTATCGCCAGTGTCTATTTCTTATGTGTAACATTCAACTATAGGAACAGCGAACTGGACTACGCAGGTTCTTTAGTTTGACCTCGTCGAAAATAGTCATTGAATACCGCCTTAAATAAACTCTGACGTACACTCCCACTAGCTGGCACGACTTTGAGTGCCCAAGCAAAGAGCATGAACAAAGATAAAAATCGCTGTATGCCGCAAAGCTAAAAAAAGCCCTCTCTATTCTTATAAGGCCGTCACTGACTGTTTGCGTTGAAACGCTTCGGGGTCACCTCTTGAGGATATCATTAGAGACAATAAAGTCCGGAAATTTCATTCTCTTACTCGCAGCGCATGCAAGGCAAGCACGCTCACAAAGTATGCAACCTGTTGCTGTAGCTTCGACAATTCGAGTCGTGAAGTAAACTGAGGTTTTCATTCTTTCAATGCATAGAAAATGAGCCCCACAATCGCATTTACAAAGGAGCACATAAGGCGTAATATTATGCATCCTCCCTCTAAAGCTCGAAGAAAAAATGTAAGATTGCGACACTCCTAAACTTCTCAACACTCATACGGAGACCAGAAGCAAGTAAGAATGCTAAAACACGAGAGAACGTTGCACTACGGCGTGATGACGTTTTAAACTGTGCGATGTTTAAGTATGTTTGGCAAAGAGTTTCGCACATTTTATTTTAATTGGGCTTCGATAGAGAGGATAAGCATTTTACTAAAGTTGTCCTTTCTAAAAAAAAAAAAGAAAAAAAAAACATTTTTTTTAAATAACATATTATCGCTTACTTTAGGCACACAAAAAAAACATACGAACATCTTTTTTGGCCATCAAATGTCACAAACGTGTGCCCCCTTCCTTCAACTTCTCAATTTCTCACTTCTTCGACCTTTTCTTTTTTGTATTATCCTAACTGTCCTAACTTATTTCTTCTCAACTTCAAATTATGAAGCAGCCGGCGCCATTTTTAGGGCTCTCAAGATATCCGCAGTATTGTCTCTTTTACTATGCGAGCTATGTATACGATAAATATTTTACTTATATAATCTATTTAGCAAATTAATCTCGACTAAAAAGTCGGACTAATTTGGAGCCCGACTTCTTTTGAAAGTAAAACACGACGCTAAAAAACGAGAATGCTACACGCGTGTCCAAAGCCGCGGTCCCACTGTGATCCTGCACTTACAAAAGACACGCGGTGTTTGCCGCAGGACGTGACGGCAGAATGATGATCTGCGCACACTCCTCGGCCATGGTCGAAGCCCGTTCGCTTCCTACATGCTTCGAAGGTGTCCGCAAACAGTTGTTTATGACCGATGTTGCAGGACCTTCATACGAAGGAGACCTCGGCCAGTATCTGCAGACTTTTTTTTGTGTGATGTAGTAGCGGCGGGACCGAGGCTTTTAATGCCGTGACTAAACATGCGGATTCGTGGGCGGATCCGCGCAGGCGGAAAGTGGATTTTGGAGCCGAAATAAGCGAAATCGACTCGTCGCTGGCGGAAAATCTAGACCGCGGTCCCCGACTCGTATATGCAGATTTTCCGCCATCGAAGAGTCGATTTCGCCACGCGAATCTAAAATTTATTTTCTCGTTTGCGGGGATTTGGCCCTCGAATTCGCGAGTGTGAACGCACCCTAAATCTGTTTTTTTTTTTTTTTTTTCTTGCTATAAAAAAGGTCGAAGTAGCTCATGTCGCGTTCTGTCTCACCTTTTTCCGAGGACACATCGCCGTAGACGTCGCTCCCAATTAAACCGAGGTCACGGTAAAACCAGAATCCAGGGAAGAAAATCCGGCCAAGCCTCCTCTTCGACGATTAGTGACTCTTTCGTCAGAACGCCCACCACTCGCACCGGAACGACGGGCACACCATTTAGCGCGATACTTGGCACCTCACCACAACATCCGCCGACTCGCTCACTCCCACCGACGACGTCACCGTTGGCGGCCTCGCACCTCCTTCTATACCACAGATCGCGTACCGAACAGCGAAGTCACAACGCGCGCAGCACCACACACCACGTGACCGATGTTCACTACCACCACACCCCCGCCGCCGCGAAACACCACCGACGAGCAAGGCGGAGAGATCTGCTTGGCGCTCAAGATCGCCCAAGTCGGTCAACGGAAACCAAACGCATGGAAACGACGCACAAAGACGAGACGACGGTTGTCACACCCCACACGAGTCTGCGCGGCATTCGAGAAACATGGCGCGCTTCTCGCGCAACAAACTATCGCGGACAGACGACACTGTCAGTCAGTCGTACACGCCCGACAATCGCAGGATGCGGCATCCTCTTCGTAAGCGAAAGACTATAAAAAAATGAAAGTGAGAAAAGGAAGCAAAACAAATAGGCAGTAGTAGTGTACCAGAAAGAGGAAGGTGGTCGACAGATTTTTTTGTTGAAACGTGAGACGTACGGGGACAAACCGAAACGGAGAGAGCGATGCTGCACAAACTGACTCTATATAAAGAGCGCGTGATGTTGCGACGGAAGGGTAACGCGCGACTTCTCGTGCGACTGCTCACTACCAATTCTTTGTCTTTTTTTTTTTCTTTTTAGGAGACATCGTTAGTTTCAAAAAGGAGCGGAGAGGAAGTGAAAGAAGAGGCAACGAGAGTCAAGGCCGATTTACTTGGCGAGTCGCAGCCTAAACCGAAGCCAGTTCGCATACGCGCCGCCCAAGTGGGATTGATAACATCTAAGGAAGACGGAGCTGACAGTGCGGTGGGCAGCTACGCGCTCGACGGACTAATCAACCACCGCCCTTTTAACAGCAGACCCCGCTCTCTGCGCGTGGGCATGGGCGGGAGCGTGATCACATGGTGAAAGATATACGTATGAATGGCCTAACGTCCACGTAGCTTCCAAGGCAATGTCAGCTTAGGGGTGAACAAAGCACATATATGGCGGACTGAAAGAAAGAGCGAGGGCAAGGCGAAAGGCAAGGAGAGGAAGAGGGAGGCAAGCACGGTGGGGTCGCGCGTTTCGCTTGCACCATCTGTGCGGCTTTCGATAAAACGAAAATAACAAAGAGAGTTTATCAAAGAACAGGAAGCGAGCTAGGGGAAGAGGAAGTGAGACAGAAATCAAACGACCACGCGTAACGCGGCGAGAACAACAACGTCTGTGGAGCCGTAGTCGCAATCCGTGGGGGAAAAAAATGAGACCAACTTGACGAAGTGGCCGCGACTTCTTGAAAATGGGAGGGAGGCATACAGGGGGCATTCAGTCGGCAACATAACTTCCAAATACGGTCGATATAACATGCCTCATCTATTCCTCATCAGTCAAATGTGTCAAACCATTTTCTTAAGAACGGCAACAGATGCCTTTTTTTTTTTTATTATGACGTAATATTTTGTTGTTTTTGTGGCAGTGGTAATGATTTTTCCAGGGTGAAATATTGAGGATCGCTGATGTATACGTTAAAATCTATTGGGACATACCAACGAACAGACCAAAGCTTGTAACCAAAATAATAGGTCGAAACATATATTTATTTAATTGTGGCGAAGTTTTTTTAATTCTAACCTTTTTTTCTCACCGAGTTTTTCAAATAAAAGTCGCAACCCACGATATTTATAGAGTGATAACTCTGCCGAGGATAAGTTCACTAATTGAGAATTAGAACTTGTTTCCAATGCGTAACAAAAAAATTTATGATGTAAAATGAATGCCGTAGAAGCTCAATCTAGCACGAAAACGAAGGTCAGCACACTATGCTTATAGCACCCTTGCTTGACCTGCGAGGTTTCCAACATGTGACGCCACGCCACTGAAAAACGCGAAAAAAACTCAAATGTTGGTCTTGCCATCACCTTGAGTTTTCGTTTTCATATTATCTATCATAAATTTATACACAATATTAAATGGCGGAAATAGTTAAACCAGGTATTCACAAACTATGGTTAGTACGGGTAGCTAAAAAAAAACTGCCTGAGCACCGCGTAGATATAACAGAGAAAACTATGAGTCTTCAACACTATTTCCTGGTATTTAGAAGAGTAAAACGTTTCGTCATACGTTCTCCGAAAAGAGATATAAACTCCATGCCTTTTTCAACGTCTCCGCGGTGCCAAGTCACGTCTATGCTTGGGATATTGCCTTATCTTATAGTCTTGGTTTCCCACACTTGGACAAACCGAAACTGGCACTGCTTTGGACGGCCGTATTTTCCCAGCATGGAATGATTCAAGAACTTTTTCATGTTATTGGCTAAAGCTTTCTCTTTTTTTTTTTACGATTGTTATGTTTTTTTAACTAAACACCGCTGGCAGTGCTCTGCGGTTTCTTCGGGGGCTCCGTCTCGAACACGTCACGCGGTGTTAAACGACTGCATGCATTCAACTTATAAGAGAGCAACTCGGAGAATCTTGAAGAAATCAATCGAAATGGTTTGATTTTTATACGCACTAAACAACTGGAACGATCATGGCACTCAATCTCGACAAAACGCTCAATTTGGTCTTATAAACACACCACTCAAAGCCCAACGAAAAGGTTTTGTTCGCGTTGGAGACCATTCCAGCCTCAGTCCTCCACACTGTCCCCTCCATATCCAGAAAACAAGCACCATCATGTATTGTAAAACGTCTGCAAAGCGACGAATGGCCAAGATTTAGTTGTAAAAAAAAGCCAAATGAGCTAGCTCACTCAATTTTGGAAGAAGTCCAAACCAAGGGTGAAAGAAATAGGCGCAACCAACCTCCCCCCCCCCCCCACCTCCCCCTCCCTTTCGCTTCTCTTTCGTCATCGTCTAGCACTGGTCGACCTCTTATATCAGTGCGTCGTTTGCTGCAGTTTTTCACAACACCATTCAAACTTTCGCCAAGGCCGTAATTCCTCGAGTTAAACTCCCCCCTGCCGGTCTGGTTTTCCGAGTGTGTGCGGGGGTGACTTCCGGAATAAATCCTGCCCTTCGCCTTGTTCTGTTGTTGTAGACAAATGAGGCGACGCCTCGTCCAATGTCGTCGTCCCTTCAGACCGCGCGCTTCGCTCAAACAAAAGTAGTTCTCTCGGCGAGTTGTTCTTTGCCCGAGAGCACTGTCGCAAATCGTGCGACTGTTTATTTTTCTTTAAAAAACAAAAATGATTTTGCTTCCGTTTAAGCTCGTAGACTTTACGCAACTTGTTTTTTATTTGCTTGTTTCCGTTTTATTGTCAGCCGCTGTCGTGTCCCGCAACTGCCGTTTCTGAGAGTCGTTTCGCTGAGGCATCACTTGACGTTTTCGCGAACTTTGCGCACTTCGTAAACTTTCCAGCGTTGTGTACCGGCCAGACCAGTTTTAATTGCTTGTTTCGTAAAAGGAATAAATATGGTGTACTACGTGGCGACACGTGCGCAGAGTTTCCAGCCTGCAACTCCTGCCAGAAGTGAGAACCAAATCCGCGAAAATAATCCCTGGAGAAGGGGAACAAGGGGGACAAACACAAATCTCCATACAAAGCTAGGTGAGAAGAGCGCGACCTAAAAAATACCCTCCCTAGAGATTATTTTCGTCATTCTTGCCCAGCTCGCATGCACCTTTGCATAATGACATTATCATCATAACCTTGAAATGCAGGCCGTTAACCCTTCTTGGTTTTAGACTGGTGACAGCTGATAAAACCCGCTCTACTCACGTCTAACTTCTAGTTAGCTCAGTTGGCAGAGCGTTCCAGTGGAAATGAAGAGGTCCATGGTTCGATACCAGTACCAGGCGGATTTTTTCGGTTGGGCACCAGTCACCTAGCTGTGTTTGGACATTTGTGTTTGTCTTTTGTCTCCCTTGTCCCCCTTTTCCAGGGATTATTATCGTCATCCTTGTCCATCTCACTTGCAGCTTTGCATTAATTGCATTATCACAATAAAATCAGGATACTAAAATAACTGTGCGCCGCCGCACTTCCGAATTTAGTTTTTACAAAAGCTATATTAAAATTATTTTAGACAAGCTCTCTTCGGGGACTAATGTTGGCAAAGAAAGCTCAACATTTTCCCAGTCTGTGTTCTCCCCGAAGTCAGGAACTCCGTAGATTATTTTGTTTTTCCTCTGTTTTCCCATGGACTTTACCAGATCCTAGAAAATTTAAATCGCCATAATTGATCTTTCAGTTTTGCTCCTCGATACTAAATCGCAGAAACCGACGAAGAGGTTTCCCTTGGCACTCGGTGACGTCATCAGATGGCATGAATGAGCTTCCGAAACACTGAGGAGGTGCTACCAAAGGCCCTTTCGGCGTACCATCGGAAAGTTCTAGTTGGCGCCCTCAAGCCATTTTGTGTGTGTTTTTTACACACCCAACCCCCGGAAAAGCAATAGGAACAACTCAAATATTATAACAATATTAAGTGTTCCTTTTAAATATACAAATACAACAGCTTATCTTCCAAAAGCGTAGGTCTTATGCCTCCACTTTTGGAATTAACGATGAGTCGGAAAACGGTAGGTGTTTCTTCGTGCCTTTCAAAATATATTGGCGCTTGAGCCGCCCCGTTTGGTGTTTAGGTTGTGCAAATGTTATGACTTTTAACAACCGAATAAAAAAAATAATGTCATCGTATTGTTTATAAAACAGAACAGGTGAAGAAAAAAATCTGAATACCAAATCCTGTGATTCCAAAATAAAGTATTACTTTCTCCAGAGCCGCTACGACGTCATTCAAATGACCAAAATTGCGCGGACCAGCCCAAGCTTGGGGAAACATTATTCTTGATTTCCTATTGGCAAGAACGTTGATAGTTTCAAATATACGTGGCCCACAAACGCTTTGAGCTTCCGAGCCCTTCGTCGTGTTCAATCAAACACGATTCGCCAGCACCCTCATCCATTCAGAAATTCCTCACTTCCACTGAAAAAAAAAAAACGTCACCAAAAACTGCGCCATCTAGACATGTCATAAAGCCGTCTGAAAGCAACCAAAGGCAAAACAAAAGAAAGACAGCTGATTATAACCAAAGCATTTCTGTTTCTTCAAGGTGTATGCATTCAATAATCTTGGAAAAACCCTAGTTTGACTGAAAACAAAAAAAAACAACTTGACTACACCGCATAAAATAATATTTAAAGCTTAAGCGAAACAGGCACAAAGATAAACGACAAAATCGTCGTAGCATCAAAACTATAATAAACGATGACGCTCATCCCGTTCCTACACAAACGTATACCGGCGGCCGTGTGCAAAACACCGTGACAGCGATCGACGGGTGCGCTGTAGAAATAAAATTCAAATGAAGCGGCCGTCTCTTGTCTTCATGCCTTAGTG